GTCACTAATGACATGTCAGTTATGGTTTAGCTAACTCCACTTTCTGCCTCTAGTACATTGTAAGAAACAGCAGTCACAAACTGGGGCTAAGCTAATTAACAAGCTAGTTTTCTTGAACACTTTCTGACTTACTTCTTCGGCTGAATTTGCACAGCTTTGAAGATATCGCCCCGCTTCAACACAACGTAGTCACCCTCTTTAATTCTGTACAGAGAATCATCGTCTGTGTTGTCCGCCATAATAAACCAGATTAAACCAGTTCACTGGTCCGCTTAGAGGTCACTGGCACCTTCAGGGAATTACACGGAGTCACAATTGACAAGGCACGGTTTATAAAAGGCACTAAATCCCCTGAAGTAAAAGCAAAATACGGCAAATCACTATTTCCACGTGTTAGCTTTCATTTCCTTAGCTCCCCAGGACGGCTAATCAATGCCAGAGTGCAGAGGGTGATGTGCTTCAACATAGTCCGCTGTGATTGGCTGGATGTGCGCCGCTGAGCTCGTTAGCCAATAGGAGCGAAGTGCGATGACAGGGTAAAAATGTAGATATCAGAATCATCGATGGCCGTTAACATCTCGTCAAAGAGGGGGCGTTAAAATGAATTTGAGCTTTACAATTAGGAAAAAATCAGCAGTAGGAACAGCGCGAGTGCTAAATAAAGGGGCTGTAGGGGCTATTAATATAATGAGATGTAATCAGTTAGTCAGTGATTATCAATGTGTGCATGTCGCAGTAGTGTTAGAAGAAGGTACCCATAGCCAGTGCCGGACCTAGCACGTTCAGCGCCTCAAGGGCCCTGTCCACCTAAGTTTTTTTGTTAATGTTTTACAATGGGAGCACAATGTATTTATGCCAAGCTACAAATGCTGGCAGGGCAAAGAAGCACTGGGTGTGAATTCAATGCATGAGTTGGCAGTAAGGTTTTTTTTTTTGTACTGTTTCCTCTCCTCTAACGTTTTACTTGAATGCTCTCCACATACGCTCCAATCCACTGTAGCCATCAATGCACTACCATGTTCTGATTGTGATGATCATGCAGTCGCCCTTTTAACACAAAGGCTGCACTGTCGGGTCGCTACGAAGCCCCTTTGCATTTTTACTCAGAACCAAACGACCATGCATCATTCCACCCCCTTGTCTGATTTTAGACTGCATCCCTGCGTCGCAGAATCGAAGAGGTGTGACAGGCCTTACATGTAACACTACAGCTTCTGCCTCTAGTGTGACATACAACACACATGTTGGCAGCGTTTATAAATAACAATGGCATAACATGGCAATAACAATCATTTACTGTCTCTGTTATACGCTGTTGATCTCGTCTTCTAACTCAGAGGGTAAAGAACTCCCAGACCTCATTGTTTTCCTAATTTGTGAACATTTTCGGCCACTGTTCTTCTACCTTGAGTTAGCTGCTAACTGCTAACAGCTACTTTTTAAATCTCCTATGGTGGGTTGCACATAACACATCATCCAAACATCAAATCCTTGCCGCCCATGATCCAGTCCTGCTGGCCGAAGCATTTATACAGACATTGGCCGCCTTTCCCAGATCGCTCTTAGCGCGAAGAGCTTCTTAAATATAATTCATTTCCTCATGATTCTCTTACCAAGACTACTTCTTATTTAGATGTAGTCTTGTTTTCATCATGAAAATAGGTCATTAACAAATATTCATCATCTTAGTTTTTCATTAGAATCATTAGAACACACATACACACAAGCAGCAGGGAACTAGTGCGTTAGGTAGCAGCGCAGTGTGTGACTTATGTGCTGATTAAGTGGTGGGTGATCGATTTGCCTGACATCGATTGATTTAGTTTCAGCATCGCGGTAGTGGCCAGCTCCTGTTAAGAGCTTCTTAAAGAGCGATCTTAAGAGTGACCCAAAGAAGGGCATTAAGAACGCATCTGGGAAACACTCATATCTTAGTGATACTTCTTACCAATAACGCTCTTAACAGAGGCTAGACAGCTCTGTTCCCCGATTCCCTGATCATATCTTAGACACAGAATTGTCTTTTCCCCCAAATAGATTCTTAATATTTTTCTCCAGTTTGATCTATTATGGACAACTGTCATGTGGATTGTAAATTTGTAAATTTGTGTGTGTACCTTGTTAATATTTAACTATAAAAAAGTTGACAGCAAAATATATTTTTAAAAGATGTGGAGAGTAAAGGCAACAGTGGTGCCAGTGGTAATCAGAGCACTGGAGCTGTGACCCCCAAACTGGGAGAGTGGCTCCAGCAGATTCAGGTACAACATCTGAGGTCTCTGTATATATTTCAGCATGTTTGGATACACAATACCTCAGGACACAGGATGACGTATGCCAAATATCTTCGTCAAATGGGCTTGTGTATTTTTAAAGATGTGGAATACATAACATAGTTTAGATATATGGCAAATATACCAGTTATTGCAGACGTACATAAATGCACATTCTGGCCAGTCATGTTGAGAATATTACTTTTAGACAGTATGACACATTCCTAAACACTTCATTGAATTCAAGCTGTTTTCTTTTTTAAATTATGTATAGTTCTATAAAAGCACACACTCGATATCCTGCCTATCAGCACGGGAGCTGATGCTGCTGGGTTGCACTTTAACACAGTTTGTAGGGTGAAAACATGGCAGATGTGTGACCATGTCATCAACTCAGCCTGGGTGGATGCATTTTATTTCCCACCATGGGGCCACAATCTGGTGTTTTATAACTGCTTCAAAACGTCGTGCCAACTCCACCTGCCCACCACTAGTGTACAGCAGTGTGGCAGTGAGGCGGGAGAAAGAGGAGCAGAGAGCATCCTACACTGCACAAGAAATAACACGATTCGGTCAGATTGAAAGAAATGATGCAACCTGGGAGACATCTTCAAGCAAGTTTCAAATGCTCCAACTATAATGAGATTGTTAGTCACATGGTAAACTTGGCACTAGTATTTGTTTGTCTTAAAGTATCTGTGTAGCAGCAGTTTACAGTGTGGCTGTATGATATCTGCATTCCATGCAGTGGCTATTGCAAAATTAAGTATGTGAAGTATTCCTCTTCACATTAACATGAACAGATAAAAAACAGATGCTATGCCTATAATGAATTATGTTTCCTTTAAGCACACATTCTAATATTTCATCATTGTAAGCATGGATGGATTACTGATTGTGCCTACTGGGCACAGGCCTAGGGTCCCAAATTATCAGGGCCCCCTTCACTTGCAAAATGTCACTCAAATTAACAGAAAAAGACTCAAAATGACCCCAAAGAGGCACAAAAAGACCACAAGGAGATGCAAAGGAACTGCAAAGAGACTCAAAATGCCTGCACAAATTGGCAAAGCCACCTCAAAGAGACACAAAATCACCTCAAAGAGGCAGAAAAAAACCCTGAAAGAGAATCAAAACCACATAAAGATCCATAATGAGTACACTGAGGTGCAAAAAGACTACAAGGAGACGCAAAGGAACTGCAAAGAGATGCAAAATATCTACAAAAATGAGCAAACCTGCCAAGAAGATACATAAAATCACCTCAAACACACAGAAAAAAAACCCTCTTACAGAAACAAAACCCCTTAAAGATCCATAACAAGTATAAAGACATGCAGAAAGACCACAAGGCGATGCAAAGGAACTGCAAAGACACACAAAATAATTATCTAAAGGGGCAAAACAACCCCAACAAGACACAAAATCACCTCAAAGAGACAGAAAAAAACCCTCTTATAGAAACAAATCCACATAAAGAGCCATAACGAGTACAAAGAGATGCAAGAAGACCACAAGAAGATGCAAAGGAACTGCAAAGAGACACAAAATAATTATCTAAAGGGGCAAAACAATGACAAAGAGACACAAAACATACCCAAAAAGACAGAAAAAAATCTCAGAGACAAAATAACAACCACAAAAAGACATAAAATCACAAAATGATGCAAGACAACTACAAAACAAAACAAAACAAAAAAAAAAGCGGCAAAGCCACCACCCAGTGTGCAGCTGTGTCCGAAATTATTCACCTCACAATATAGGGAGTTATATTGAGGACTATATAATGAGCTCATCTGCAGCATGAAAAATCACTTTCGGACACTATTTGTGTCACTTTCTCAGCACAGTTAATGACATCATTGTTGCGGCAAAAAACTAAAACATGTCATATCAACATCAGCTGGTGAACCATCCGTAACAAATACTGACATGTATATTTGTTATAAATACATGAAATTATACTGAGCGCATTTTCCCTAAATTAATATAAAACAGTACAAAATACTTTGTGTGTGTTTGTGTTGCGATGCTCTGCTCACAATAAACATATTAACATTACGCTGGCAGAAGGACAGAGCAGCACGATGTCAACCTGTCCTACTAACGTTACATTAGTCATTTTTTTGTTTAAACTTTAATGTGTTGAAGTTTGCTTTACCAGTTAGTCTTGTAATAACTTGTGAATTTAATTTATAATGTTAAATGTTACGCCATTACTGCACAAATTGGATCTAGCAGTGACTCAGCTTGCTAACATTAGCTAGCGTTATTAGCCCTACCCTGTACAGTAACTATAAGCACTAAAGAAGATCAGTTGCCAATTTATTTTTATCTCTCCGAGGACTGACGACTACACATTCTATTGACAGTTTATGACATGGGAGAGAAATTGGTAAAATAAAGTTAATCATGTCGTTATAAGTTAAACACGTAAAGCAGGTTGTAATTGAGTTGCTCTATCTCCTCTCGTCCGTCTAAGTGTCTGTCCCATACAGTCCATCTGTTTCTTTGGTGCAATGCGTGATGGAATATATTGCTTGGTTAGTGACCACTGGTTGTACACTGCTTTTCACAATGCATTGTGGGATACTTTGTCCATTATATAGGGTATAATAATTCCCACTATACATTCGTCATCACAGTCTAAGAATCAAGTTGAGTTTCCCTTTAAGATAAACCCTCAGTTCTGTTTGTGCTGCAGCAAATGAACAAACGTAAAACAAGTTGTGAAATACAAAAAACCCTTTAATGATTTCTTTTTTTTTTTACAAAATGTTTTTCCTGTTAGAAACGAGGACGTCTCCTCACCTAAAAAAAAGCTTAATTCTTACAAATATCAATGCATCTGATTTTTGAGAGAATCTTGACTACATATTTACATCAACACCACTATTTCTATAGTGCATGATACATTGCTAGAACTGTTCACAGCAGGATATATGACGACAAAAAGTGGATTCTACTGTTGTTCTGTGACTGAAAATACTCAATTTACAGTGTACCATGTTACATTTTCTTTAGCAGTGACTTGCACAGTGTGTAGGGTTACCCATGCTACAGAAGATGACTGCTGCACTTTCACATTGTAACATACAGAAAGAAACAACAGATAAGAAGCACAGGTTTCCTCATTCTTGTCCCCCGGTCAGTTTATGGAACAGGTCTTCATCTAGCGTCTCGTTCTGGTCTTTTGATCTCGTGGACAGGAAGATGTAGCCGCCGATGAACTCATGGACCACCTTGCAGTCACAGCTCAAACAGCAGAAAGCTATTGACACACTCTGGTCGAACTCTATGGACACCTGGAATTACACACAAAGGATTTATGTCTCTGAGGTAACACTGTCTGCAGGAAATACTCAAAATAAAACCTCCCTGAATGAAGGGGCAGGTTAAATCATAATATACTGCACAACGATCCCTCACCTGTCTTATCTCCCAGTTAACGTTCCACTGCTTCATGTTGGCAAACCTCCATGTGGTGACGGGCAGACAGGTCGACATGTCGATACGGATCATACGGTTGTAGGAGATCCCCAGAATCTCATCCTTCTTACTGCCTTTGAATCTGAAACACAAATAAAATAATAACCGTATTATCATCATGTATGGCATTTAGACGTAAATATGTCACCAGTTTTGTGTGTGTTACACCCCAAGAAGTATTTGGATGTTTTCAGATTATTCCTGATTAAAATTTTGGTGGCATTTTAATGTTGCAAGTTGCTTAAGTTTATAATTTTAAAGAACACTTTACCCCCCCAAATGACCATTGAATTTGTAAACGAAACTTTTCTCAAATGCCTATAAACTATATCAAAACAGCTGTTTACAAACTCTCACAAAACTTGTGCAGTATAATCAAAGTCTCATTTATCTAACCGTATGCTCAGTACTTCACAGACAGACAGCCCCTTCTGACAGGGAACTGAATGAAAAGTGAAACTCAGCTATGCTCTCTGCAAAGCCAGACTCCATTAACAAAAACAGTAATTTTACCTCAATGAACGTGAGAGCTGCTGGTTGAGCACTGCCTTGATATTTGTGTTATTGTGTGACTTTGTTGTTTTAAAGGGTTAGTTCTGGATTCACCAGAGTCACACAATAACACAAACAAACTATTGATCAAGGCAGCAGCAGTACACAAGCAGCTCCTGTGTTCAGCAGGTTAAAATTACTATTTTTGTCAAAGGAGTCTGGTTTTGAAGAGAGCATGGATAAGTTTTACTTTCTGTGTCTGTTTGGGAAGTACTGGGCATACGACTGAATAAATGAGACTTGGATTATACTGTATGAGTTGTGTGAGAGTTTGTAAACTGATGCAGGTTAATTGGTGACTCTAAATTGTCCGTAGGTGTGAATGTGAGTGTGAATGGTTGTCTGTCTCTATGGCCCTGTTTAGACGACAATGGTTTCTCTAAAAATGGAAAAGTCTGTCCTTTGCATTTTAAAAACATTATTGAAACGAATACCGTTCACACGGAGCCACAAAATCTACTGGAAACGCTGTAGTATGCACGCCAGGCCAATGGGTGGCAGTATAAATTTGCAAAGCAACACCACTGCATGGCGCCATGATCGGCCAAAACGCAACTACAGTTAACCATTTTCAGTTGAAATCGTTGTCGTATAAACGGGACCTATGTGTCTGCCCTGTGATAGCCTGGTGACCTGTACAGGGTGAACCCTGCCTCTCACCCATTGTCAGCTGGGACAGGCTCCAGCGCCCCCCACGAGCCCTAACAGGATAAGCGGTTACAGAAAAAGAATGAATGTTGTTAAACGAGGACCCCTACGACTTCAATTCATCAAGAACTTTCTCTGATTCTGGATTCTGGGTTTACCATCTAGGCATGCAAGAAGAATGAAGATTCCTCATAAATTCAACATAACATGTAGTGAGTTACTGATCAAATCATCATCTGGGGGGGATGAAGTATTCCTTAAACTAGTATATATACTGTTTAAAAAAAGTTCAACAATGAGTAATTTCAGACTTTTCTGTATAAAATCTTGATGTTAAAAGTAAATATCAGATAAATGTATTGCAGTAAAAAGTACATTTGCCTTCGAGATCTAGTGGAGTAGAAGTATAAAGTTGCATACAATGGTAATACTCAAGTAAAGTACAAATATCTCAAAACTGTACTTAAGTAAAATGTACTTAGTAACTTTCCCCCACTGATTATACCTGAATATATTCACTGTACCTGACGATGTAGTAGTTGATACCAAACTCTGGAAGCGACTGCCAGGCCTGGATAAAGCGCATCTTCGCCTCCATTAGGGACAGCCGTGCTATGTTCTGATGGGCCTCCAGGATTCGTGCAGTTAGCTGGAAACAATCACCAAAAGTGCAGATTTAGGCTAGCACATGTATGTATATTTACTTATGACAGTCATGTAAGGCTGCTGGCTGCTGGAAAAGTCACCACGTAGCCCTTTGACAGACCTGTTTGGTCTTGTGCCTCTTGGTGTAGCGTGGGGAGAAAAAACATTCGGCATTCATCTCCATGGCATCGAGATCCGGAGCTGCCTGACCAGGAGGGGGCGCCAGGCTCTTCATCTGCAGGAAGGACTGGATGTTCCTTACTTCTGACTTGTAGGAGCTGTAGGCCATTGTCTTGCCCTTGGAGGCAAGGATACATGCAGCTTTCCACTTGGCGTACTGCGTTTCCTGCAACAATTACAAGACAGTTACAGTATCAGCCCACGTTTATATATGTCACTTTACAGGGATTTATAAATGAGACATAAATACTGCTCATGGGGATGAAGATGGGGGCCTTACATTGTCACATCGGATGTACACCTCATTCATCCCGTCAGCAACTGGGAGCAGGAGCTTGATGCCGAACTTCTTGTCTGTCACATTGACATCGGGGACAACCTCGCAACCTGTCAAAGAAGTGGAAGTAGTTAACTGCAGAAGAAGAGCAGCAAGATCGGATCTGCTAATATTTTCACAGAATAAAACAGCATTACTGTGGCAACTTGAAGAAAAATACCACTTTCCCAGAACAAATATGCACCTCCATATCCAAATTGTGCATCTGTATAACATTATGTTTGGTAAATAATGAGAATGGCCTTTGTAGGGAATTCATCACGCTCAAAGACATAATCACACATCCTGGGAATGCTGCTTACATTAAACTTATTAATCCCCAATAGTACAGAACACATTATTGTTTTTCACAGCATTCTTCATCACTGACCTCGGAGGTGAAACTGCTCGATGGGTTCTCCACTGGCAGTCTCCTTGTTCTTGTAGTAGGAAATAGTGGTGTCCTTGAACACAAACCAGTACTCTTTGTACGGCCGCAGCGTTAGTCTTTTGGGCCTAATTTAAAACAAAAAGAAAAAAAAACATATCAATGTTTTTGCCTGTGATACAGGTTTTGACTCTGATACCTCGGAGTAAGAGACTGTGAGCAAAACAGCATAAAAGTTTCAGAGGGTTATGAGATACATAAAAGAGCAGCTCAACAGAAGGTTGTTGCCATTAATCAATTATCAGACGACCTACAGGCCATTTTATGATTAAAGCGAATATCAGAGACATAAATACACATAATAAATATGTATGGAGAATATTCTACCCCTGTCCCATAAATCACCTCATGGCTGCAAGCCACAAATTACACTGATTTAAAGGGTAACTTTGGTATTTTTCAACCTGGACTCTTTTTCCCATGTTTTGGTGTCTAAGTGACAAATGAGACCAACAATTTTTGAAATTCTTCTAGTATTGAGTGAGAGCACTGCAGCCAGCAGCGGCAAAACAGGCAGCAGTGTAACCACTCAGGGCATTTGTGCAACGTCACATACATCCACACAGTGCTTGTTTTTGCCACTGTCAGGCTCAGATTATTAGTCAAAGTGTCGGACAGCATTATGGAAAGGATCCCTACAGAGGTTGCCCTTGTTGTTAAAGCGAAAGTTCATTTTTTTAACCAGAAACAACCCTGACTCCACTTTAATTAACAGTAATTTTAGCATGTATAGAGCCAGCATATTTGTACATTTCTTTTTTTTTTTTAGTCGAACCTGGGCCGCTGCGGCAACAGCCTTGTACATGGGGTGCCTGCTCTATCCACTAAGCCACCGACGGCCTTATTTTTACATTTCTAACTGAACTAGAGTTGGTTATTGTTGGAACAGTGAAAAGACGAACCATGAGTTTTATTTTGTTCCTGTCGCCTTTGAATAAAGTGTTACATAAAGGTAAAAATCAATGACTGGTCTGCTCACTCAGTGTAAAAGTCCATCGTAAAAGTAGGCAGTCCAAAAATGCATCCAAGGCACTCTGACTGTAGTTAAAAATCCTTTATAATGCATGGAAAACCCAGCATGTTTCGACTAGAGAGTCTTCATTAGGGTGTAAAATGCATTGGAAACAGGTGTGCAATTTAAGAACTCATGTAGGAGTCATGATATATTGGTGTAGTCCTACTAGACGAAAGACATGTTTTTATACATACATTACTGGGGGTGATCCTTTGTAAGCTATGAAGTTTTCCTGCCTTTGAATATTATTGGATATCCCCTAATCTTTCTGTTAGTTATCATGAGTAACAATCTTTATAAACATTTTAACTTCATACACGTTATGAGTTGTTGTCCATTCACACATATTGCTTCTTGTCTTTGTCATATATGTCTTATATTTTTCATTTTCTGCTACTTAATGTGCAGGTTTGTCACAATATATAACAATCCTTACTTGATTTCACTGTTGTTCCTTTTTATTTGGCCTTGAACCTTTTTTCTTGTTACTAGGGATGTAGTCTCCTGGTTGATTATTTGGTCGATATGCTGTTGTCCGACCAAATTCTTATTGGTCGAATAATCGCCGTGTTACTGTCATAAGGAGAAAAGTGCTATATCAATAACTTTCCAGGATTAATCCATTATTTCCTGCAGCAGGGGGACAGGCTAAGTTACCTGTGAAAATGGTGGTTTTCAAAACACCCTCGTTGTTTACACAACGTTGAACACGCCCACCCTCACGCTCAGCATTGCGGTGACACAGACCTCCTGTCTGTTTCTGTATACTGAAACCATTTCCCTCAGTGGAAACAAAGCTTTTATTTACTTTAATTTCACAGATAAGAAACAATAAATTGTGAAGACAATAAAGCCTCCACTAAAATAGCATTTTAAGTCTTGTGTGTGATTTATCCTGGCTTCATATGAGCAGAGGAAATCTCTGTTAGCTGCTAGGCTAATTTATACAATGTAAAATGCCATAGGCTTGTGCTAATAATGTTAGCATGTTGTATTTGTTTGGAAAACATGTTTAGTATAAGACAGTTGTTTTGTCAGTGAACCTTGTGAGCTGTAATGGAGCCAAATTATGTAACGTTACCTTTGTTACATGTTGCTGTTGTCCCTGGCTTTATATGACACAAGGGAAAGGTCGCTAGCTGCTAGGCTAATTTATACAATGTAAAATACCATAGGCTTGTGCTAATAATGTTAGCATGTTGTATTTGTTTGGAAAAATGTGTCCAGATAAAGACAAGTGTTTGTCTGTGAATGCTGCGAGTTATAGTGAAGCCAATTTGTGTACCTGTGTTTGAAATTGTCTCTATTAAGCCATGTTTAATGTGTGTTTAATGTGTGTTTTGAATCAACCAAACTTTACAGCACTTAACACAGTCCTCCACCGCCGACTAGTGTTTTGGAGGTGTAACTGCAGAGTGAAACAGACACACCACCGCAGATGTAAATATAACGTGCAGATTTATTTTTTATTTTTTTTTCCCACGACTAATCAATAAGTTGAAGATTATGTACGACTTCAGTCGACCAAGATTTTCTTTGGTTGACTACAGCCCTACTTGTTAATAAAAATATTAATAACTTAGTATACATTTATGTATTTTCATTGACGTCAATGTGGTTTTTGACTAGTAGGGCTATACCAATATATCATTGGTGCCTGTGCCACATGGCGTCTACATGAGTTCTTAATTTGCACACCTGTTTCCGATACAATTTACACCCTGATGAAGACTCTCTAGTCGAAACACGTTGGTTTATCCATGCACTAATAAAGGATTTTTAACTACAGTCAGAGTGCCTTGGATGCATTTTTGGACTGCCTGTCTGTGCCATGGATTTTTACACTGAGTGAGCTGCACAGTCATTGATTTTTAACGTTATATGACTATTTGCTCCATCCTCGAAGACTACACAGTGCCTTAACCCAGTGCAGCACGCCCTCATTTTTTTCCTCGTTTGAATGAAGTGTCATTTTATGATGATAAAATTACTGTTTTTTTAAATAGAGTCTGGCGGGTTTGATGATAGTGATTTTGGGGCTGCTAATCATTAAACAAAAAGGATCTTACTCTTCAATAAAAAGGTCTATCTCTGTAGGGATCCTTTCAATACTGTTGTCAGACACAGAATAATAATCTGAGCCTGTCAGTGGCAAAAACAAACACTTTAGTCGACGTATACTCACAGTGCACAATTGCCCATTAACACTAAATTGCAGCCTGTTTTGCTGCTGCTGTTTGCAGTGTTCCCACTCAATACTGGACTGATTTCAAAAATTGTTTTTGCCATTCATCACTTAGTCACAAAAACTGAAGAAATAGAGTCCAGGTTGAAAAACACCGAAGTAACCCTTTAAGGGCACTTGACAGGTGATTGTTTAAGGGACAGTAAAAGATCAGGGTCTAACTGATGTATTTGAGATGTTACTACGGTCGTTAATAACGGTATCTTGATGAGATAGGAACAAAGGTGGGTTTACCTAAACAGCCGGAGGGAATCTGCCAGCTCTGGAATGTCTGTAATGTCTTCCTGGGGGCGGGACAAACATCTGTGAATTATCCTGTGTCTTCTCCTGACATCACCATGTTAAGACATGCAATCATCTGAGGCCTATACCTATCACTCCTGCTTAAAAAACAGGTGTTGTACTGTAACAGACCCGAAAGCCTTAAAATTACAGTTAATATTCACTCCAGTGCAAAAAAACAATGTTTACCAGAATTCGGTCTGTGTGTCTGCCTTCAAGCGTCACCTCCAGGTTGGACAGGGCCGCCTCTACTTCATCTATTTCTGGTTCGTTGGAGTTGTCCAGTGGTTCACTTGACATGGTCAGTTTACAAATGTGATACTGAAAATGAAATGAAATAAAAAGGTTTTACTACATAAGTTCAAAAACTTCTCACTTTCCTCACAGCAATGTTCAAATATTTTAACAAGTACAAGTCATTATGACTTAAGAGGTTATGCAAGGCTGGCATGAGTCAGAGGGAGGTTTGAACACAGCCCTGTGTGCCAGCCATTGCACCAATGTGTAGGTGAGTGCAACACTGATCTCCCTTTGTATCACTGTGATTTCTGAATCACTGTCCCAGCCGTGGCAACATAACAGCTAAACGGATCAGAGACGGCCTGAAATGTAGACACAGAGAATGTTGAAGCTTAAACTTTGCCACAGATAGAGTAAAGTTCTTTGATGGGGAGTTATGAGTTTTACTGTACTACTTTTCCCACTACTTAATCTCTCTTCATATACCTCTCTTTCTCCTCCTCTCCCTCCCACCCCCACCCTGGGATTTTCCTCACGTCCCGACACGTCTTCTTTTGGATTAGGACACACAATCCGCTCTCCCAAATCTGCAGTTCCCAACCTTTGTCCTTACAGGATCACCTTTCTATCATTGCGTAAACTGACGACCCCTCACTCAGTGACATATATTATGGATATTAAATATTATATTAAATAACAGTAAATGTACAGAACAACAGTTTGGATCAATTTTGAGCTGTTTATTTCCTGTGAATACTGAATCACAGCTGATTTTTTTTAACATTCATGCATATTTAAAAGTGTATTTTTCACCCTGACTCTTGGCCATTGTTCATGAGCTTTTTGGTCATTTTATCTACCTTTCTAATGCAGGACGAGGCTGGTTAGCAGACGGTGAAGGCTCTTAGAATATAGCTTGTGTTCAGATGCCCTTATCTTGTGAGATTTTTTTAAAGTTTATATCTAAAATAATAATCCAAACTTTAAAAATAACAATTTTGTTTAATTTTCCTCGAAGAGCTGAATGAAATGCTGAGATATGAGCCGGTTGTATGTTTTATATTTTATGAAAAAGGCCTTGTGACCCCCCAGTGAAGCTTTGGTGACCCCTAGTGGGGGTTATGACCCCCTGGTTGGGAACCAGTGTTCCCAATATTCTGAGCTCCATGACACCCTTGCACTTTACTTAAAACTAATTTAGGCAACATTAACATGCCCACTGGAGAACTGTGGTTCATGACTGCAACCCTTTTTTAAATCAGGATTTTAATTATTAACCATGAGTGCCATTTGGTAGTTTTACTTCTAAAATTAGAGCATGCATGCAAGTGTTAAAGATATAGCTGTCATTTCAGTGTTTAATAGCTTTGTATGTGTGGTTTATAGATATGCATTCACTTTTATAATGCTGACTCTGCATTCTGTTACACATAAAGAGCCTTATATCGCTCTCATAACCCTAATCATGGTGTGTTGTTCACCTGTAATGAAGCAAACATCAGCATCTCCTCCTCAGTGCAGTCTATCTCCTCCAGCAGGATGGACCAGCGAGCTTGTTCATACAGCTGGGTTATTCTGACAGCGTCGTACTAAAACACAAAAACATACACTCACATTTAATTCAAAACAAGGCAAAAATAATTTTCCAAAATGAAACATTTTGGGTCTCTTACTTTGGGATTGAGGTCAAAGAAGACGTTGTACTTGAAGCGAAGCAGGAGCTTATCTTCATATTGAATGTCTTGCTCCATAAGAGAACGAGACGAGTCCAACCACCTGCCAATCATAGCAACAACCAATTAAAGGGATTTTGGGTACAAAACAGTGTCCGAATCATATTGAGAGGCAAAATCCCTCCCTTTCCGGTGGCTCACCATGGGACCTTATCTTAGAAAAAACCTGTACAGTAGTCAACGACGAGAGACTAATTATATTTTTTATCCTATTTGAATCATGCCATGAATTACACACGTTTGTCAGTTTAAAAGATAATTCTGTAAGTCAAGAAAGTCACAGTTTGTCATAAAACTGTTGACATATAAGACTGTATGTAGAAAGACTACACAGCCAAAAGTTGCTTAAGTGAGGTGATAACTTTCTCTCTCTTGCTGAAGCTACGATGGCTGCGCGTTTTGTACTTGGATGTACTCACGAGCATTGGCTCTTGCTTGCTCTTTAGCTTAACGGCTGATAAAATGACCAAAGCCCAATTATCTGATCAGAGTTTGGCTATCAGGTTGGAAGACAAGAAAAAAAGGATTCTGAAATTAGATTAGCTCACATAATCTAGTTTTGGTTTGGATCTGGATTAAATCTTCAGTATGATTTGTTTGACCTGTACAGTAAAGCTGAGAAAGAAGATGATGGGCTACCTACTAAGCATTTCAGTACAATAAAATAAAGTGAAAATAAAATAAAATACATTTTAAAAAAAATAGAATAAAATAAAGGATTTTGCCCTCATAAAATAATCCCCCACATATCTGTCAATATTAAACAAAAATTAAATTATTAATAATAATGACACAGTCAAATTTATTTTCTAACAATTGCGTCATCCCGCATTTGATTTTCTGTTCCTTCAAATAAGAACACTTGAAGTGACCCCATGCTGGCCTTATTTCCTAATATTCTGTACATGACTTGTAGCCTGTATTGTGATGTGTAGCCACATTTAGAGCACTGGTTATTATTACTGATAGTCTTGAAAGGTTTGTACCTGGATCAGGGCGATCCAATCCAATGTCACACAAAAGTAAGATGGAATAGCTGATCCTAGACAGCAAAACATGGTGTTTCCATATCCACATAATTCTGAACAAGATTATTTTTTTAAGCAACTGGGCCCAGTAGTTGCTAGATAAAAATCTGCTAAGATAATGCTGCATTTGTGCCAAGGTAACCGCCATGGTGGTGGTGCGTATCGTGCAAGACGAGAGATGTATTTCACAAAAGACCCGTTACCACCAAGCAGTTCAGTTCAGTATGCTTTTTTCCGTTTCCACTGTGAAAAGTTGTGGATGTAGCAAAAGAGTACTGTTTGCAGTGGAAACGCGAAGCTGACCTACAGCCTAGGTACCACATCTGAAGGGTTACTTTTGGTTGCAAAGGTACCATATGGAAAGTGTTTGGTGGAAAGAGGGCTTAAGTGGTTTCAAACAAAACTAAATGGTACTTCGACAAACCTACGACAAACTGTCTTGACTGGCAAAATTATCTTTTACATCAGCAAACAACATATGAGTAATTTGTGGCACAATTCAAACAGATAAAAAAAAAAACGATTTGTCTCCTGCTGTTGACTACTGTACATATTTTTTCTGAAATAAAGTCCCATGGAGAAGATGATAGACTTTGCCTCTTTTATCAGTGTTCAAGTTTTCATTACCCTGCATTGTTAACCGCTTTGTCCACTAGCGAGAGCGGCTGGTACATCTTGGCCAGTTCAGCAGGCGGCAGGTTCGGCTGGGAGTCTGCTAGAGGGTTCTCTCCAAACCAAAGGCTTGTCGCAGACATCGGCATCCCGTTCTCTGGGTCGTAGGTGGCTGTCATGGTCTTACTGAACATGGGGCCTTGTTTTATGAGAATGGAAGATAAATGATTAAAATCAAGTTTGCCAAAAGGAGTCAGCGTCCCGTCACAGCAATAATGTATTTATTGGAACTGTAAGGGGAGCTGCACTTGGAAGTTGGGATCAACTCACTGTCAGATAGGGGGTTGGGAAAACGTATAAAAGGAAAAGAACATTTTCAAAGGAGAATCAACAGTTAGAATAAAAAGTTTGACAGAAAGGTTGAGACTCATAAAAACAAAATAGCGCAGGATGAAACGCGAACGGTACCAGCTGGGTCGACATTAAAGGCTACAGAGATCAAAGGTCTTAATTAAAGTGATTTTTAGGCTGGTGTGGAAACTGAACTGCAGTGTAAGAGAGAGCGGATGTGTGTTAAGGAAACCCTGAAGAACATAGCCGCATACTGAACAATTCTTTCAGATCTCACTGATGAAAACTGTGGCCTGTCAGATCTCTGCAGCACTAAATATAGATATTTCTCATCTCTTCTCCTCCTCCAGCTCAAATGGAAAATAAAATGTTACTGCCCTTTTAGGGCTGGACAATCATCTGAAAGTATTGAATTACATTCAGAAGATAAAATGAATCTCCTGCTGACCTGAGTTCACTCTGAGCTGATTTTCAGCAAAAGCACAGGTGGAACTAATACATTAACGACTCTGTTCAATTATTCAGTGCAATAACTGAGTTATTTGTTGCACCTGTTGTTTGTCTGCAGGGAAAAGATCTATTTAACATAAGTTTCAAATGCATCAAATAAATCAATTATACGCTGGAAACCATCAACTTAAATATTTGATTACATAAATATCCTAAAACTGGACTTTTCACTATCATTAGACGTTTTATCTTGAAATAAGCAAACTGAACACCTTAGTACTCCAAACACCAAGCATCAATAACACATGCAACAAGTTTATAATATTGTGTTGACCAAAAACACAGAACAGCCTTACACTACACACAGAAAAATGGTGGTTCCTTAGCAGTTCATAAGTGCCACACAAAGAACTAACTAAGCCTCCTGTATTGTTCCTTAGAGGTTCTCTACTGGTTCTTTGCCCAGTAAACTAAACTAAGCAAGTTGGAGAGACAGTAGAGAACCTTTAAAGGAACAAAACCCCTGTATTGTTTGTTTTTTAGAGGTCAGTAATCTAAATTAAATTAATGCTTGCTCTAGCAATAGCCTTTCTGCAGGGGGTGCCTGCTCTACCAGGTGAGCTACCAGGCACCCCAATAAAGAACCTTTTAAGCCTCCTGTATTGTCCTTTAGAGGTTCACTACTGGTTCTTTCCCCAGTAAAATAAACTAAACTAAGTTGAATAACCAGTATGGAATCATTTAAGCCCCCTGTATGGTTCTTTAGAGGTTCTCTGCTGTTTATTTTCCTAGTAATCTAAACTAAACAAAGCGTAAGAACCAGAAGATAACTTAGCCCCCTTTATTGTTCTTTAAAAGGTTCTGTGCTGGTTCTTTGCTCAGGAATTTTTAAACTAATCTATGCTGAAGAACCAGTAGAGAACATTTTAAGCCTTCCAGGGGTTCTCTACTGATTATTTCCCCAGTAATCTAAACTAAACTAAGCTGACGAACCACTAGATGTATGGTTCTTTAGAGGATCTCAACTGGTTCTTTCCCATCCATCCAACCATGCATCCATCCATGCATTCATCCATCCATCTATTTTCAACCGCTTATCTGAAGCCAGGTCACGGGGGCAGAAGGCTGAGCAAAGTATTTCAGACGCCCCTCTCCCCGGCAACACTTTCCAGCTGCTCCTGGGGGATCCCGAGGCGTTCCCAAGCCAGATGAGATATGTAAACCCTCCAGCGTGTTCTGGGTCTGCCCTGGGGACTCCTACCAGTTTGATGTGCCTGGTTCATTCCTCAGTAATCTAAACTAAACTAATCTGAAGAACCAGTGGAGAGCATTTTGAGCCTCTGTATTGTACTTTAGAGGTTCTCTACTGATTATCCAGCTAAAATAAGTTTAGTGCGCTGGTGTAGGAATAAAAACACTTGTATTTCCAGAGGAAACCACATTAAAGCAGGGGCTCCCAACCTTTTTGCCTCTATGTACACAGAAATATTTCAGGTTTGAAAAGGTAACGCATTATGTTTCTCAGTATGTATTTGGTACAGGATTCTGGATCTTTAAAACCAAAATTTCACTCAATCACTCACATTTTAAGTAAAGGTGTAATTAGAAGCATACTGACTCTTCCATGGTATCATCTGACATCATTCAAGGACCTCCAGGATCAAAAATGTATAAACATTACAGTGCTATACCATACCTGCAATGGCTCCATATAGCACTACATGACAAAGGGGCTGTGTGTAGCACCTTTCTTTCCAGCCAATGCATCTTTTTCTTTAGCCTGAATCTTTTCAGAGATGCTACAGATTGCTTCTGAAGTGAGATTAGGTGCTGTGAAACTTTTGTTTTTGGCTGTGTTCAGAAACAGCACTGTGTTTCACATTACCTGTGCCTGCTGGGCCCCCGCTAAACAAGTCGATGTCCCAGAGGTCCTCGTGTGCTGAGTTCTTGTCTTTCTTCTTCTTCTTTTTAGAAGGATCGTCTGGAGGCTTCAGCAGGGACAGTTCCTCTGCATGTCTGATGTCTGAGGTGGAGCCACCAGGAGACAGTGTGAAGGATCAGGGAGAATATTAAAGTAGGGAGAGTTTTCATTTTAGATCAATCAAAGATGTCTGTCTAAACACAATACATTTAAACAAAAGAACAGACAGAAGAGAGAAACTCACTGAGCATTTGACAGATCTCCGCCACCGCCTTGAAGACCACACTGGAGAAGCTGACAGTTATTTTGATGGTTTTCATATTGGGGAGCTGCAGCAGTAGGGGTTTGTGCTGGGGTGTGTAGCGCAGGTCAGCGTCAGCCTGTGTACAAAAATGTGTTTTGTTGAAATCTGACTCACACCTGCAAAATCTATAATTATGCTCTTGCCTTTCTTATTGTGCTGATTTGGAGATTTTGGCAACCTAAGCTGGGTTTAGGGGAACTTCCCCTGTCTGGGGAATGCAGGTACACAAAGGGTGTATTTTTAAGCTATGTTCAGACATGTGATGCGGATAAAGGACAACAAAAAATAGAAACAAACCTATTTGTGTGTTCATTATACTAGTTTTGTACATAGTTTCCTTATCTTTCTCATCATGGATTTGATGCGAAAGAAAATGTACTCATATACTCAGTTTCATCTTTAACATCATTCCAAATTCACTGTCTGGAGCAGCACCAAACTTTATACCATATGACACAGGAAATTCAATATTTAGCACTTTAGCTTTGGGATTTGGGAGAGCTGCTCATGTTTACTTATATTTTTAGATAGTTTTTAACAATAGGAATAACATGTATGAATTTAGAAAATGGGTGTAGCTCCCCTTTAAAGATAGCACTGCTGCTAAGAGGTCCCACTTTAGGCTTCCCATGCTTGCTTGTGCATTATGTGCTCTGAAACTAATATTTACAATGCACAGGTTGCTTTAGTGCCATGTGAAGTGGCAACACCTTCCAGTGAGGGGGCCACCCTACACCAAATCTGCTTAGTATTTGAATTATTATGACTTTTATTGGAATACTCAAATGTGCCATGGTTTTTGAGCTTTATAGAAATACACATCTTGGGATTGTTAAAACTGTTTCTGGAATTAAAGGTTCGGTGTATAAGATTTTGGGGGACTTTATTGGCAGAAATGGAATAATAATCACCTGAAACTTAGAATCATCATGTTTTCGTTACCTTAGAATGAGTCGGCCATGTTATTTCTATGGTAGCCAAGAACAGACAAACCAACACTGACCCAAGATAGGGCAATTCACGGTTTTGTGTGGGTCTGGGGTTTCCAAGTGGTGGGTCGTGGTCAAGAAGTGGGTCGTGGGTCCATTCTGTATGAACCGCAAGTGACTCACAAACAAGTTTGTAAAAATCACAATTTAATTTTGAACTACAGTGAATTTCCGGCACAAGCTTTTATTTTGTAGTACTGTCTCCTGATGTAGAGTGTAGACAGCTATAACAGAGACAGCAAACTAGCTTGATAACATGGCCAAACACAAGTGTGACGCTGAATATGTTAAACTTTGAGGACCTTGAACTAATGACTAATGAGAAATCTGGACCCAGTGGCTGGACCAGTTGGGGACCACTGGTGTAGGCCACCATATTTCTCCACGCTTAGCACACAGGGGAAGTTTTATATTGTTGCAAATGGCAACCTTACTGCTAGGTGTAACTAAATCATACACACTAGACCTTTAAACTATTAAAATTATAACATATCAAAGACAGTACAATTCTAACAATAAATAAAATCACGTTGGCATCTACATTTTACCTGAATTCCATACTTGTCCAAGGTCCAATGGGTTTTGAGCAGCCAGCAGTTCCTCTGTTCCCACCACAGGGCGTGGTCTGACCAGTCCTGAGGAGCCTCTGCAGACAGATTAATGAAAAACATATCACCATCATATTACCTTCATATCTCAAGTTTAAGGGGTGGCTCACACCCAGAGTTATTGCATACATTTATATGTCAGTTTTAAAGGGTCTTGCGGTGGAGCTGCGTGACTAAAACATTTAAACAACCACTACATCTGTAACCAACACAAACCCTCCAAGTACCCACCGTCATGTAGGTGGCTAAGCATGATTAATGTGTGGTTTTATGAGTCTACCTGACATCATGAAATGCAGAAATCCGTCTGTCGATGACGAGCTATTTAGTCATCTTTTATGTCTCATGCTCTTTGAACCACCTTACTGAAGTTTCGTTATTAGATCCTGCACATTTATGGAGAACTGTAAAGAGATAACAGATCCCAGCTGAACTTTGGCCCCTTGGGATACACAAGCCAATGCACTGTGGCAAAACAATGGCAGTGCAGTGTAGAGAAATGCAGGGCAAACAAGGGTGTGGCTTGACTAACAGACCTGTAGTGGCAGCAGGGGGAGGTGGAGGTACTATGCTGGAAACAAAGTCAAATGGATGTATGCTTTTAACAGGGAGAGGTTCAAAGGTACCTAATTGAGATGCTGTAAATGCAACATCACCCTGACAGATTGCCGCACAACAGTTTTTCACCTCTCATCTGAGACACTTACTGATCTTCTCCACCAGCTTAAGCATGAGGCCTCCGATGTGCAAGTCTCCCTTCACCCTCAGCTTAAATTTCATGGACTCATCTCCATCTTTTTGATCGATCTGCACCGACAGCTCCCATGATGTTTCTCCGTACTCTGCAGCTGTGATCATGGCGCTGTTCTAAAAAGACAGAGGTCAGACAGTGTATTACATTATAGGAAGCACAAGAATACTAGAAGGAAAAACCTACCACTATCTCTGATTAATGACATAGTGGCGGTGGGGGATTCCACTAAAATATGTTGATTCTTTCCTTGTTTCTTTTGTTTGGAAGATTAGGAAACATCTGGGATGAAGACATGACTCAACGGATTAAGTGTTTCTCAACATCCTGTGGGAACATCCAAATTAACTTGGCGAGGAGTTAACAAACAGATCTCTCAGTGATCCTGTGCTAAGTAGCCAGCAATGGAGCACATTTTCATCCTGCTTCTTCTGCAGTATCTCTGCAATGATACTGCAGCCCCTGAAGTACTTCTCTCTGAGCCGATACATTTATAAATAAGATATCAGTGAACACGCAGACTGGCAGATGTACTGGCTGGTGCCAGCAGGAAAAATAGATGAGACCGCAGAACACACAGTAAACACAGCAGAGTTGTCACAGCTGTACGGCTCTGCACAGATTGGCAAAAATATAGTAGAGGATTGTTGGATCTTAATAATGAGACAGAATGAATGGATGAAAGGCAACGGGCAGGTGAGAAAGGGGAGAAGAGCAGAGGAGGAGCAGGGAGGGTACAGCTGTGGAATGTGTGACGAGCAGGGACACGAATCTGGTGCAGGAGAAGCAAAGCAAAACAACAATTTCCACACACTGCACCAATCTGCCATAGTTTCACACCCAAACTCTGAGTGTGTGGTGAACAAAGAAATGCCAGCTCATACACACACTCACTCGTCTAGACCAGGGCTATCAATAGGGATACCTGTTTCATTTGTCCTGGGCAGCCCAGTGGAAATGTATACTGTGTGAAAGCGTGTTGCCGGGAGGCTAGGTTTAATGAACACGCTCTGCTTTCTTTGTGCTGCTCCCTACCCATGCAGCTGTAGGGTACAGTTAAAAGTTTTGAGCTTGCACGTCTGCTGAGGGAAGGCTTGTTGAGATGTGTTGGAGGGTGATGAATTGACTCCCACATTATTACACTAGCTGCAGAAAAGACCACAAAGTGTTGGAAGGAGCGATGATGTAATTTGGGCCTCATCAGAATGCAAACAACAGAAAACAAAATCTAGTTTTCATACCAAATATGCAACGGATTAAGGAGCTTTCATACTGAAAAAGGCAGCCAATGTAAACTGTGTTTAATCTGCTGTTTCTAACAAACACTGCACTGAAACAGTGGACTTAATATTAGAACAACTAGAGGAATGCAGCACTGGAGAAGACACCCACACTCCATGAAAAATGGCCATTTTTTAACAACAAAATCAGCGTACACACACATTACTGAAAAATACAATGCCATAAAGCACCATGCATCTCTGTTTACTGTTACAATAATTCACACTAAGGCAAATGATCTGGCATAAAAACAAAAATGATATTAGTGAACCCTGAGGCAACAACTATCACATATCAGGCCTTACTTATGAGCCATAAACAACACTACTGTTAGTTTTTGTATTCACAGACTACATCTCAATGTCAGCCCAGCTTTAATATAGCAATAGCAGTACAATAAAGTTATAGGCAACAAATTAAACATTAACTTCCCTCTGTGTAGGCCTACCACAGACACGGCAAGTCCCAACTGGACCATTCCCAGTCATATGATGGGATTTTTTTTCTCCTCAGGTACATGAGAAGTCTGCTTTATTCAATCCCAGCAGGATAATAGCCCTATAAAACCAACAGCGTCGAGACTCTGAAACCACTCTTACCTTGATTCACAGTTTTCTGTCGGTGAGCTATTCCTAGAAATTTCTAGTGAAGTGGAATGAACCAGGAATGAGGCTCCTTCGGGAGTAAAACACGCCCCGTGCACACAGGTAGAGACAGAGGAGGTGGGACCGTTAGAGGAAGTGGGCTAATAGGTTAGCGCTACATCTTCAAAGCAAAGGTGGGTGTAGTTAACAACCCTACTGTTTGCTTACACATTTTAAATGCCTGGGAAATGAATTACTTTAACTAATTTATGCAGGGCTATTTAGTTGTATGATAACTAGCTGAATATATAGTGTGCTAATTCAACTGACAAGCCAACTAGCCCCAACATGAGCTAGTCTACTGTAACTTACAGTAGCCTCATAAGTGACGCTATGTAACGTAAAATTAGCTAACATAAACATGCTAAACTAGCTAGCTTATGCTAATACAGATTGTCAGTTACACTGCAGTAAGCTAATGTCACTTGGAAAACAATAGCTAACATCGGTATTAACACAGCAAAAACAAAATATTTAATTACTTTAACCAATTTATGCAGGGATAGTTAGTTGTATGATAACTAGTTGAATATATAGTATGCTAATTCAACTGACAAGCTAACTAGCCTCAACATGAGCTAACGTTAGTCTAACCTTACTGTAACTTACAGTAGCCTCATTAGTGACGCTACGTAACGTAAAATTAGCTAACATAAACATGCTAAGCTAGCCAGGTTATGCTAGTATAGCTTGTCAGTTACAGTGTAGTAAGCTAATGTCACTTGGAAAACAATAGCTAACATCGGTATTAACACAACAAAAACAAAATATTTAATTACTTTAACTAATTTATGCAGGGCTAGTTAGTTGTATGATAACTAGTTGAATATATAGTATGCTAATTCAACTGACAAGCTAACTAGCCTCAACATGGGCTAGTCTAACGTTACTGTAACTTACAGTAGCCTCATTAATGACGCTACGTAATGTAAAATTAGCTAACATAAACATGCTAAGCTAGCTAGCTTATGCTAGTATAGCTTGTCAGTTACACTGCAGTAAGCTAATGTCACTTGGAAAACAATAGCTAACATCGGTATTAAAACAGTAAAAACAAAATATTTAATTACTTTAACTAATTTATGCAGGGCTAGTTAGTTGTATGATAACTAGTTGAATATATAGTATGCTAATTCAACTGACAAGCCAACTAGCCCCAACATGAGCTAGTCTACTGTAACTTACAGTAGCCTCGTAAGTGACGCTATGTAACGTAAAATTAGCTAACATACACATGCTAAACTAGCTAGCTTATGCCAATACAGCTTGTCAGTTACACTGCAGTAAGCTAATGTCACTTGGAAAACAATAGCTAACATCGGTATTAAAACAGCAAAAACAAAATACTTAATTACTTTAACCAATTTATGCTGGGCTAGTTAGTTGTATGCTAACTAATTGAATATATAGTATGCTAATTCAACTGACAAGCTAACTAGCCTCAACATGAGCTAGTCTGTAACTTACAGTAGCCTCATTAAGTTAGTGATGCTACATAACGTAAAATTAGCTAACATAAACATGCTAAACTAGCTAGCTTATGCTAATACAGCTGGTCAGTTACACTGCAGTAAGCTAATGTCACTTGGAAAACAATAGCTAACATCGGTATTAACACAACAAAAACAAAATATTTAATTACTTTAACTAATTTATGCAGGGCTAGTTAGTTGTATGATAACTAATTGAATATATAGTATGCTAATTCAACTGACAAGCTAACTAGCCTCAACATGGGCTAGTCTAACGTTACTGTAACTTACGTAATGTAAAATTAGCTAACATAAACATGCTAAGCTAGCTTATGCTAGTATAGCTTGTCAGTTACAGTGCAGTAAGCTAATGTAACTTGGAAAACAATAACTAACATCACTATTAACAGAGCAAAAATAAAATACATACCAAGGTGTTTTCTTTATGGCATACAAATTTAAATGAACCCAAATTTGATTTAAATGCTTAAAGAAAGGCATTTAGCAACGGTAAGCTGAAGTTAACTGAATATATAGTATGCTGATTCAAATGACAAGCTAACTGGCCCTAACATGAGCTAGTCAACTGTAACTAGTAACTGGACAGTTACCCAAAAATCAGCTAACAGACATGCTCACCATGCTAGCTAGCTCATGCTTGTAAGCTCATGTAACTTGTTAAACATTAACCAACATTAAAATTAATATAGCAAAAACAAAATATTCCATATCAAGGAGTTTTCAGTTTACTTTTTATTTTAAATGAACCCTAATTTGAAATATATGCGTCAAAAGAAAATGGCAGTTAGCAACAGTTAGCTGAACACCCACGTCTATAGCATTACTGAAGTAAATTAGCACTTTTATTTTCAAAGAATGTAATGTGACAACACCAATTATTAGCTCAACCTGATGATATAACTAATAATAATAATAATAATAATAGTATGAATATGAAAATGGCAGTTAGCAACAGTTAGCTGAAGTTATTTTTTTCCCCTCAACATCCATGTCTTACACTAAAGTAAATTAGCACTTTTATTAAAAAAAAATGTAATGTGACAATACCAATTATTAGCTCAGCTCGATAATATAGGTAATAATAATAGTATAAATATGAAAACGGTAGTTTGCAACAGTTAGCTGAATTAACACCCATGTCTTAAATATTACTGAAGTAAATTAGCACTTTTATTTTTAAAAGAATGTAACGTGACTACTAAAATTATGAGTAGCTCAGCTCGATAATATAACTAATAATAGTATAAATATGATATACTCAGTTTTGGGAGGGTTACTTTTGAAATGTAATAGGTTACAGATTAATAGTTACCTTATTAAAGTTATAGTGAGTAGTGTAACTATTTTAATATTTTCATCAAAGCAGTGTAGCCTAATTCATTACATTTACTTACTTTTGATAACTTCTCTAACAAATGTTTTAAACTGGGCAATAAAGCTGAAAGTCTTAAAAAAAAAATATAAGTGCATAATTAATGATAATTAATGTCGCACTCAAATTTGTGCCAATGGCTTTGCAGACCTGCATTGTCTGAAAATATCCCACAATAAAGCCTTCCTGCATGATGAAAAGTTGCAGAGCTACAAAATGAATGTCATACTCTGTAAGGTTTTTACTGGAAAAAAATGTTATGCGGATGTGACTATTTTGTAAACTCCAATATTTTGTTCATTAATCGTAATTGAATC